GGGGCAGGGGAGAGGAGGGGCTGGGTGGCGGGGAGCACCCCTCCACCGTGGGGTGATGCCGAGGCCAGCAGCGCGGAGAGGGGCCAGAGCAGAACCGGGTGGCCCCGGGAGCGTCCTGCCAGCCCAGGGCCGCTCTGGCATCCCCGAGCCGGCCAGACAGACGAGGGCAAAGGTTCGGGGGCACCTCACGGGGTCCTGGCATCCCCAGGCAGCCCAAGCTGCCCCGGCCGTGACAAGCTGAAGGGGCCGCGGTTTGGGGGGCAGGCGGCCAGGCAGGTGTTTGGGCAGATGGTATCCAGGCAGGCAGGGGAGGGATAGGCAGAGGCGTTTGTTTTCTTCTGTCAACACTTCCTCATACATCGGATGAAGCGAGCATTGGGCTTGGCTGGCCTCAAGCCAGGCAGCATCTTCCACCGACCTGGAGCTCTGACCGGCCGGAGGAGTGTTTAGGATCAGGCCTCCCCAGCACCGCAGAGCAACGGGCACTGCTGTTTGAAGAAGGGGCTGTCGCAGGGCAGCAGGGTGTCGGGAGCGGGCATGGGAGCTCCCTGCTGCTCCCTCCTGCCCTTGGGGCTCCAAGCACAGCACAGCTTTACGGATAGATGCCCACATGCTTCAGAGGTGCCTTTCCCCAGATCCCAGCAGTTCTGGCTTCTCTCAGCCCTGCTCTCCGAGGCCTGCGCCATGTCGGGTCCTGGCTGCCAGCAGACACCCGTGGGCAGGCTTCAGCCTGGGCCACGGCTGCCCACGGCCCCACGCAGCGTGTTCGCCTGGCAAGCTGCCTGCAGCACCTGGGTGGCTGTCCCTCCCCCTCCTCCTGCCACCACGCACGAGGAACGTCTCCCCGTGGTGACGAATCCAGCTGAATCCGGGCGCAGGCTGCGATGCAGTCAGTCACCAAGGGAGATTGTACCACGTGCATCCCCGCAGCCGCGGGGAACGGGGACCAGGGCTTCCCTGCTAGGTCCCCTGCAGCCCCCTGGGCTTGGCCCCACTCTACAGGGTCTCTGGCAGTGCCTGGGTGGGATGGAAAGCACCCCTTGCATGTGGCCCTGTGCAGATCCACTTGCACAGGGGCGCCTGGCTGCACCTGAGCGATGCACTTGGGGGTCACGGTGCTCCCCAGTGGGGAGGCAGGCATGGTACCCATGGGTGCAGCTGAGGAGAGGGAACTGTGGCCAGCAGAGCCCAGAGTAGGGCTGATGCTGGTGCATGTCTCCTAGCTGGCTTATGAGCCTGTGGCCCCAGGGCTATGTCCTGGGGGTGGCAGCCTGCCCTGGGAGCAGCCCAGTCCTGCCCCAGCCTGGTGCTGCCCTCCCACCACTGATCATTAACCACCCTTATCAGGTGGCAGGTTCAAGGACCCACGCAGGGAGTCTTGTCCCCGGGTTGAGCAGAGCTGGGGCCATGCTGGAAGCTGTAGGGCTTGGACCTGCCGACAGCTGCTGCAATGGCCCTGCACCTCGGCAAAGCCCTGGGCTTGGCACTTGTCCCAGTCCCTGCTGTCCCCTCTTGGCCTTGCTTCCCCAAAAGACCCACCAGGCCCTCCGTGCATTTCTGGGGTGGGTGAGGGATGCACCAGCCTGTGCCAGGGGTCAGTGCCTGGTGTGCTTTGTGCTGGCAGAGGACATGTCCCTGGAGATACCAGCCCAAGCCATCTGCAGAGCACTTCAAAGATAGTGCCAGCTTGGGGGGTCAGAGGCGGGTGCTTGGAGCTGACTGGTGCTGAGGGGTCCCTGGGATGGGTGCAGAGCATGCTGGACACATGCAGGGCAGCACTGGGGCAGGGAGGGACTGATCCAGCCCCAGTGCTGGCCCTGTCCCATTCACCCTACTATGCTCTGGTGCACCATAGCTGATGTCCCGGCGCATTTACGGCCCTATCTGGAAGTCGACCTTCGGGCATTATGAGAACATCAACATTGGGAGCCCAGTGGTGCTGGAGCAGCTGCTACGGCAGGAGGGCAAGTACCCCATGCGGAGCGACATGGCCCTGTGGAAGGAGCACCGGGACACCCGGCGCCTGCCCTACGGACCCTTCACCGAGTGAGTCCTGCCCTGGCTGCGCTCTGCGGGGCAGTTGGTGGCTCCTGTCCCTTCCTCGGGTGTAGGGCCTGGGTGGCAGCTCACATTGCTCCCTCTCCTGCAAACAGCGTGTCCCCCCTAAGCAGAAGGCCATGGCCATGGTGGGTGGGAAGACCCCTGGGGTGGCTCCAGCCCGGCGTGGGAATGATGCACCCAGGGAGTGGGAAACTGCTGCCAGCCACTGCCCCCTGCCTGGTCTTGCCCCCCGCACTGAGCCTCGTCCCCATGCAGGGAAGGGGAGCGCTGGTACCGCCTGCGCCAGGTCCTCAACAAGCGGCTGCTGAAGCCCTCGGAGGCGGTGCTGTACGCAGACGCCATCGGGGAGGTGGTGTCGGACCTGATGGTGCGGCTGCGGGACGAGCGGAGCCGCAGCCCCTCAGGGGTGCTGGTGGGGGACGTGGCCAACCTGCTCTACCGATTCGCCCTGGAAGGTAGGGGGGTCCTCCCCCTTGCCCTTGCCCTGCCCCACTCTTCCCATCCCCACGGGGGTCTGGATGTGGCCTGTCCCCTGCAGGGATCTCCTATATCCTCTTCGAGACCCGCATTGGATGCCTGAAGCAGCAAGTCCCTGCCGAGACCCAGCGCTTCATCGACTCCATCAACCTCATGTTCAAGAACTCCATCTTCGCCACCGTCCTGCCCCGGTGGAGCCGCAAGGTGCTGCCCTTCTGGGACCGCTACCTGGACAGCTGGGACACCATCTTCGCCTTCGGTGAGCGGTGGTGATGGGGGCCTGGCGCGGTGGGATCAGACACCCTAAGGACCCTTAGAAGTGGGACAGTCCTCAGCCATGTGTGCTTTTGGCCACCCTCGCTCTGTCAGCACTGGGTCCCACACTCTGTCCCTGCAGGCAAGACCCTGATTGACCGAAAGATGGAGGAGCTGGAGGGGCAGGTGGAGCGGGGCAAGGAGGTATCCGGCTACCTGAGCTACCTGCTGGCCAGCGGCAGGCTCAGCCTGGATGAGGTCTACGGCAGCGTGGCCGAGCTGCTGCTGGCTGGCGTGGACACGGTGAGAGCTGGGCAGTTGCTGCAGGGGGATCTCTGCTGAGCTCTGTGCCAGGCGGGGGAGCCAGGGGGCCATGCTCAGCTGCACTCCCCAGCCCCTGCGAGCTCTGGGCTGGTGGTTGGGGGGCTGATGCCCCATAGGGGCAAAATTTCAGGGATCAGTCAGTACAGACCCTGTCCTCCGCTTTTCTCCCTGCCCTGCTTCCTGCCTCAGTTTCCCCTATGGAAAGGGGCTCACTGCCCTTCACCCCTGGCTCCCCTGTGCACCGGAGCAGGGGCTGCCTGGTGCTGTACTGGTGCCATGCTTGGCACAAGGCTGCTCAGGTAGTGGCCCCATCTCCCTCACTCCTCTTGGCACTCCGCTCCCCCAGACCTCCAACACGCTGTCCTGGGCCCTGTACCACCTCTCCCGGGACCCAGGCATCCAGGAGACCCTCTACCAGGAACTGAAAGCCGTCGTGCCTGCCGACCGGTTTCCTGGTGCTGAGGATATCCCCAAGATGCCGATGCTTCGGGCAGTTATCAAGGAGACGCTGAGGTACAGCCCAGCTGCCCCAAGGTCCTGCTCACGGGCCCCTTCCCCAGGGGCAGTCCCTTCTCCCCACACACTGGGGGATGCACCAGTCAGGCAGGGTGCAAGGCTGGATTTCAGTCCCTTAGGGCCGCATCCATCCACCTTCTCCCTGGGGAGGGGGACGGAGCTGCTGAGCAGCGGGAGATGATGCTCCCCCTTGTCCTGCCTGTGGCAATTTCCCTCTGGGGTCCCCAGATGGATCCTACTGCCCCACTAACTCTCCCCATATCCCAGGGTCTACCCAGTGGTGCCCACCAACGCCAGGGTCTTCTATGAGAAGGACATCGTCATCGGAGACTACCTCTTCCCCAAGAACGTGAGTGGGGGCCATGCCGTAGGGACCCCCACTGTGCTCAGTGGGGCTGGGCGGGGGTCGTTAACCACCCCCCTTCTTGCCCCACAGACCCTCTTCGTCCTGGCGCACTACGCGATGTCTCATGACGAGACCTACTTCCCTGAGCCTGAGCGGTTCCTGCCCCAGCGCTGGCTCCGGGGCCACGGATCGCCCCACCACCCCTTCAGCTCCATCCCCTTTGGCTACGGGGTCCGTGCCTGCGTCGGCCGCCGCATTGCAGAGCTGGAGATGCACCTGGCTCTCGCCAGGGTGAGTAAGGACCCCCCACCCCAGGTAACTCGCCACGAGCTGGGATGGGGGCCCCAGGGAGTCCCCAAGGCACTGCCATCCCCTTCTCCCCACAGATCATCCAGGCGTTTGAGGTGCGGCCAGACCCCCGCGGCGTGGAGGTGACGTCCGTGTCTCGCATCGTCCTGGTGGCCGACAAGCCCATCAACCTGGAGTTCATTGCTCGCCCGGGGGCCCCCTGACTGCGTGCCCACCCCCCCACCCTGGGTGCTGAGTGGGGATCATCCCCACTGCCCCATGAGGAGGGGCAGGAAGGCAAACCCACTCCAGCACCCATCCCCTGCCCAGCTTGGGCCAGGGGACTCCCAGCTCCACTGTGGGGAAGATGGGGAGGGATAAGGGATGACCCCAAGTCTCCCCTGGGGCACTAGTATCCCCCTACCCCAAATCTGCAGGAGGCTTGGGGAACTGCTGTGCCTTTCACATGCTGCGAGGGGTTGTGTCCCCCCCATCCCGTGCCCAGCTGGGCTGTGTCGGGGACACAGGAGCTCTGCCAGGGCGGGGGGGAAGCGGGGAGGGGGCTTGCAGCCGTTCGGTGTCTCCTTCGTCCCATTCTTGTGTAGCTGCACGTGAATCTGTGCCTGGAGCCAGGACATCTGGGTCCTCTCTGAACAGCTGACCTTAGCCTCAGCCACTTCTCTGTGCCTCAGTTTCCCCCCTGCCTCCCAGGGAGGGGTCGAGCGCCGGCAGGGGTTTTGGGTTTGTGCCTGGTTCAGAGGGACGGAGCCAGCCCTGGCCCTGGGCAAGCGGAGCAATAACACAGCATGTCCCTCGTGATGGGGAGGAAGCCTGTCACCACCCAGCACTGGTATCATGTCCCCTGGCAGGGTCAGTCAGCATGGGGAGCACCCGGGACCTTTTGCTATCAGCCGTTATTTCACTGAGATGCTGATACAGGGTCACGGGAATGGGGGCAGGACTCGCTCCGGGTGAAGCAGCCAGGGAAGGATCGGCTCAGCTCCCCCCGTCCCCAAGCGGGGACATGGGGCTGATATCCAGGGCCACCGCAGGGGCTCAGAGCTGGCAGCAGCCACAGGCAGGGGATGCGTTGCCCCTTGCCCAGGCTCCTGGAGGGCTGGAGTATGGGACACCCTAACAGTGAACCCCCCTCACCTTCCTGCTGTTTGGGGATCCTAGCTGGACTGCGGGAAGCATCAGGCAGAAACCTTGCTGGCACCAAGGCTGCCACCCCTGGGGTATCCCCGAGGGGACCCACACCACCACCATGGTGGAGCTATCAAGGCTGCACACCCCGTGTCCCCTGTCCCCCTGGCTCTACGCACACAGGCAGAGGTGCCACCCTGTGCCCATGCTGCCCTCATTGGCATCCCAGGCTGCGTCCCCCACCCCTGCCGAGCAGCCAGCACCCCCTCCCCAGCCCAGCTCTCTCCAGAGGAGCCGTGCCCGGCTGCATCCCAGAAAGGCGAGGCAGTGGTTCCTGGAGCAGGCTGCTTTATTACAACAAGGCTGAACAGACCAGCAAATAAATACCCTCCGGCCACCCCAAAACATGCACAGGGTCCCCGTGCAAGTGCCCGTCCTGGCACCAGCTCTGGCGCAGGCTGTCCCTCTGCCAGGGACCTCCAGCCCCACGTGACCCTACAATAAACAAGCCTGTGTGTGCAGCTGAGCCTACACTACTGGGCACCAGGCGCAGCTGGAGGACTGTGCTTGCTAAGAGGGGAGCCTCAGCCGAAGCGCTCAAATCCAGCAGCAGGATGGGAGCAGGGTGGTTGAGTCCCCCGGGGCCACGTGGGTCCCTGTGCCCAGCTGCTGGCATGGCATAGCTCCTCCGGCATGGTGCCCATCGAGCATCACCATGTGCTCACTGGCAGGAGGCACCCCTGGGCCCCCTTTTCCCCGCTCCCTGCCTCTCTGAGGCTGGCAGGATCTGGCCCTGGACTCAAGACGAGCCCCAGGACTGGGGTGGGTAGGCAGGTCCACCCTGTGGAGACCCTGTAGGGCCCGAGCCTCCTTCCATGACCCCAGAACCACACAAGAGGCCCCCAAGTCGGATGAGATGGCAGCACTTCCCTGCTGTCTTCAGAGCGAGGATTGGTCGATGCCTGCAGGGCGAGAGAGTGTGCGAGGCCGTAACTCCCCCCGGTGGGCACTGGCTCTGGGCTGGGCGCCCTGTGGCATGGCCCTCCGACCCACCCCAGCAGACAGCGGGGTCTTGCCTCCATCCCTGACTGGGATGCAAGGCCCTGGGGGAGGGCAGGGGCTGGTCTGGAGGGGGACATCCCGGTGGCCCCCTGCAGCTCCTGACACAGCCACCCGTGCGGGCACCAGGGATGGAGTGAGCAAAGGCACCATGATGGGGAATGGCAGGGTGAGTGGGGTCTCATATTTGGTGTGGTTAACACACCCCACTCCCTGTCTCCTTCTGTGTGGAGCAACTGGGCACTGCTAGGGGAACTGGTGGGCATGGGGCTGTCCCAAGCCTGTTCCCCCCCCACTCCCCCCCAAAAAAAGCATCATTACCTCTGGGAAGCAGCTGGGCACTGGGGCCAGCTTCCCCCTCCCCAATTCACCCCTAAATGGGTGCCACGATGGGTGCCAGTGCCATGCCTACCCATCACCAGCAAGGACTCACCAGGCAGTGGGCGAGCAGAGCCGGGTGCAGGCAGCATGGCCTGGGAGTGAGTCCCATCCCTGGAGCAAGCAGTTTCAGGGCCATGGGGGTGGTTGGGCTGTGCCAGCCATGGCCCATGAGTTGGCCGTGCTGTGCACATGGCTAGTGGTGGGCAGCATGTCTGGGGTGTGCGAGTGGGGGTCTGTCCCCTCTGTGTCCCCTGGGAATGGCACTGAAGGGGCTCAGGTCTCGAGGGAGACTTTGAGGCGAGGTCAGAAAAGGGCTTTTGTCTTGGGGAACATCACACCCCAAAACCCTCATCCAGCCCAAAGTCCAGGGACCTGCAAAACCTGCATCCCACGTGCTGCCTGGATTGGGGTCTGGGAGGTGTCTCTGTAGCAGATGCCCCCATCCTTCCTCATGGATACCAGGGATCAGGACCCCAGAAGGGTTCCCCTGTGACCCTTGTGTCCCAGGGATAAGCAGCATCCAGGTCCTGCCATCCCCACCTGGGCACCCAGCACTGCCAGACCCCAGCCCCAGCCTCCTCCAGCCTCCTCTGTCCCCTGAGGCCGATTTGGCTGGGATGGAGCCAGGTGGCCCGAGCAGGGAGGTGACAAGGTGCAGAGATGAAGTGTGGGTGACCCAGCAGCGGGGAGGGGACAGGTGTGCAGTGGCGGGGGACGGCGCCTACCTGAAGTGGAGAGAAATGGAGGGTGCAAGTGGAGAAAGATGGAGCGTCGCGGGCTAAGAGTTAAGAGCATCGATACCTGCGGGAGTGAGCACAAGGGCCTGGAGAATGTCGGAGAGGGAGATGATGCCCCGTGGATACTGGTTCTCATCCACCAGAACCAGGCGATGGACCTGTGGGTGCAGGTAGAGCATCACAGGCAGGTCAGGCAGCAGGCAGGAGCAGCTTACACTGGCACGAGGCACCCCAGGCACTCACCTGCTCCTTGGCGATGCGGTCAATGATGTCCTCCATGGTTTCGTGGGGGTAACAGGTGAGGACCCCCTCCAGGCAGACGGTGCGCTGCCGCAGTGCCTCCCGCACACTAATGTCCAGGTTGTTGTAGGTCTTCTGGGCTGCCAGATGCTGTGGGAGAGGTGGTCCCGCTCAGCGCCCCAACGTGTCCTCACACCCTGTTGTGCCAGCACAGCGGGGGACACGCAGCCCTGGGGCTGCATGGGGCAGATCTGCACTGGCACATGCATGTCACTGCACGTGGGGTGGGTTTGCATGGGCACAGGCAGGTGTGAGCACCCCACCAGTGGCATGCAAGGGGCCACACTCGTGCCCAGGCGTGCAAGCACACAGGGTACTCACAATGACATCAAACCGGGAGTAGAGGCCAACCACTTTCCCTGCAAGGAGAGACAGTGCAGGGGCTGGGGAGGGGGCCCTGGGGACAACCCACTGTGCTCCCCCATACCCCAAGGTGCAGCCCAAGGGCCAGGAGGGGGTTTTTGGGTGGGGATGGGGCCAGAGCCACGGGCAGTGGGAGATGGTGGGGCTGCTTCACTCTCCAGGTACCGGCATCATTGACGACAGGCAGGGCAGAGACACGGCGGTCCACGAAGATTTCCAGGGCGGTATAGATGGGGGCGGACTCAGGCACAACGGCCACGTCACGGAAGGTGCCGACACACAGCTCCTGCGCTGTTTTCTTCAGGAAGTGTGGCTTGGGGATGGTGGAGCCCTGCGGTGGGGAACAGCAGGGCTGGGCTGGCACCTACATGCACCCTGACACCCTTGCTTGTGCCCATACACGCCGACCATGCAGGTGCACATGAAGTCCCAGCACTCACAAAAATGTGGAGGAACTTGAGGATGCGCTTGTGTGTCAGGATGTGCAGGACATTGCCCGAGATGGGCTCGATGACAGGCAGGCGATGGATCTTGTGCTTGATCAGGGAGTAGACAGCATCGAAGAGGCTGCGGGTGACGGGGACACCGTGAGGGAATAGGGCTGCATCCCGGGCACACCCCCCGTGGGGTGTGCTCTTCCCCAGTGGGCAGGCACTCACCTATTGCTTGGAGAGATATAGACCAGTGGCTTGAAGGAGCCCTGCAGGTACACCTCTGCCAAAGGAGAGAGGTTGGAGAGAGGTGGGAGAGGGGGTCCCCCAGCCCCCTCATGGAGCCCACCTCCATGCCCTGTGCAGCATCCCCAGCTCAGCCCGGCCACCCCCATCACCTCCCGCTTTTTACCTCTCCAGGTCTCAATCTTGTGTTCCTCCACCTCGTAGATCTGAACCTGAGGGCAGGGAGATGCCCTGGTCACGGTGGCCCCATGGGGGGACTGAGGGGACACTGGGGCACTGCCCCTTCCCCAGGCATCCCACCCCATCACCCTAAGTGCAGGGATCACATCTTGGGTGCTGGGCAGAGGGGCATCAAGCAGATGCTGGGCTGGCCAAGACCATCCCCTGGTCACAGGCTAGTGATGAAGAGAGGTCCAGGAGAGGGAAGAGGGGACCAGAGAGGTGGGGACAGCCCCTCCCTACCCCATGCCTGCCCCAGCTCCCCGTGCCCTCCCCGCCACACTCACCAGGGGAGAGCGGTAGTAGCGGTGGAGGATGTTGATGAAGTCAGTGATGGTGAGCATCCCTGTGGAGACACGTGGGGCTGGCAGCGCTGCCCTCACCCTCGCTGCCAGCAGGAGAAGGGGCCAGGTGGTGCTGCCGGCACTCACCCACAAAGGTCTGTGTCTTGCTGTCCCAGAGCGGGGCGGCACGCACCCCGTTGGCCACCAGTGCCACGAAGGCTTTCTTGATCTGCTGGTGGAGTGGGGAGGGGGTCAGGGGGTCCCTGAGCCCGCTCCCCCCCTGTCTGTCCCACTGATCCCCCCGCTTTATCACCTCCAGGGAGGTGTCGAAGACGACGAGCTTGCAGCTGGTGGGGATGGCATCATAGCAGCAGTGGCTCCTCATGAAGTGCATGTAGACCTCAGCATCGGGACTCTGAAACTCGGTCTCTGGGGTCAGCCCCAGCACCTCATTGCCCAGCGTGAAGGTGACCGGTCTTGGGCTTCTCTGCCTGTCCTCTTCCTCCTCCTCTTCCTCCTCCTTGGGGGACAGTGCCTCCGGGAACCCTGCCAGCAAACCCGCCCCAAGCCTGGCCGGTGAGCTGAGCTGCCGGGTCTCAGCACCCTCCTGCCTGGGGGGAGCAGGGGCATGCTGTGGGAGGGGCTGCTCCCCATAGACACCCCCCCCCCATTCCCCACTCCACGGGGGCAGCATACGGCACTGCAGCCCTCCAGCCTAGGGGGCCCTGGGAGCTTCTGGAAGGAGCTGAGGAGTGGAGCAACGTGGGGTATGGGCAGGGCGGGCAGAGGACCAATGTGGTCATTACATGAGTGAGCCAGACATTCGCCCAGCCCACCCCCTGCCCTCCGACAGGTCTAGGTGCTACCTGCTACCCACCTTCCTCCTTAGGGCAGGCAGCAGCATCCAGCAGCGCCACCTGAGGGGGCACACAGGCAGGTGGGGGATCAGCAGGAGCCAGCCCGGCCTCTCACCCACCCATGGCTCCTGCCTGCACCCACCCAGCTGCCCTGGCACCCCCAAGCCAGACAGAGGGAACCCTCCTTTCAGGGTGGGGATGCACGCTGGGCTCAGCACCGAGCCCCCACGGGGAGCCCCTTGCCCACCCATGACCCCTGGACCCTGCCTACCCCCATGGTGGCTCCAGCCCAGGATGCCCAGCTTGTCCCCCTGCTCTGGGGGGCAGCGGGGATTCCCGGGATGGGGCAGGGGATGGCAGGACCCCCCAGCTCCTCTCTCTGCTGTCGGAGCTGAGCGCATCCTGCAGCGGGTCTGCACTCATCCTCTCCCTCTCCCAACCCCAGGCTGTAATTCCTGGTCCTGCTTTCTCCCGTGTCGGCAGCCCCACCTGACCATGGGGACTAGGTCCACCCGGGAGACCCTACAATAACAAGAGGGCAGCCCCAGGTGGGAGGGAGGCGAGCACGGCCAACCGGCTGACCCCGCGCCCCCTGGTCCCCAGGAGACCCTACCATAACAAAGCAGCACGCGTGGCAGGAAGACCAACCCCGGACCACAAACCCGCTGGCAGAGCCAATGTTTACGAGCCACCCTACCATAACAAAAGCGCAGGGACTGCTCCCTAGGGAGCCCAGAGCCAAACCCGGGAAGGAAGTGACCCTACACCAACGTCCCCCAACCTTTCCCAAGGGGCTTGGGACAGCCGGGGCGGGCCGGCGGGCCAGGCTGCACTCCGTGTCCTCGTCCCTCCGGCTGCCTGGCCGTGGGAAGGGCACCGCCAGCCCCCCACATCCCCCCCCACCCCGGAGGCGGCCTGTCCACGAGTGGGGGTCTCTCGGGCCGGGTCCCCCACCCTCTCCGGCGGTACCTGGGGCGCAGCGGGGCCGGGGAGTCGCTCCATGCTGACTGCGGGGCAGCGCTGCTATTCTGGGCCCGCGACTGGCGGGGGCCTGGCAGATAGGGTGTCAGCGAGCAATGCCAGCCATGCCCCCGCCACCGCCGCGGGGGGGGGACGGGACACGACACCGCCACCACCACTGCCACCGCCGTGCGGTGTCCGCAGCCGCTGCGCCACCCCGCGACACCGCAGCACCGGGCTGGAGGGGATGGCCGTGGCCCCGGGGACAGCGCTGGCGCTGGGGACGCGAGGGAGGGGGTGATGGAGAGAGGTGGCTGGGGCCAGAAAAACTCTCCCCCCCGCTCCGCGGACCCCCCGTCCTCCAGGAGCGGTGCTCAGCGCCTGCCAGAATGCTGCCCTGCCCGCCCCGGTGCTGCCCCCAGCCCGTCCTGCAGCAGGAGCGGGTGGGGGGCACGGCAATTCCCCCCCCCTCCCCCGGGAATGCTGGTGGAGGGCTGGATCCAGCCACGGGCTGAGCAGCAGCCAGAGCCGGAGCTGGGGACCCTTTGCCCTCGACGCTGCCCCAGCCCTGCCTGCTGTCCTGCTGCTCTTCAGCCATCCCCGGCCCTCATGGAGGGAACCTCCTTCATCGCCTGCGGGGCCACCCCCTCTCGCCCGCCCTCCGCCCGCTCCCGGCTCCATTTCTATTTCAGGAAGGTTCAAATAACCCCTTGGCCCGCTGCCGTGCCGGCCTGGGAGCAGCGGGCGTGGGCGAGCAGGCTGGTGGCTGCCAGGCCAAGGGGACAAAGTGGCTCCGGCTGATTGCTGGGGGACAGCTGGACCCTGGCCCGCGGCGGGACGCAAGGAGCAAAGCCCCTGTCCTCTGGTGCTATCCCATGGCAGGAAGGAAGAGGAGGGATGAGGCAGGGGGCTTGGTGCTGGGGCCAGGCCAGCAGGATGGGGGTGACATGAGGACACAGCAGCTGCCCCAGTCTTGGACAGCCCTTGCCCCACAGCGGTGCAAGGGGTGGGATGGGGCCGGACCCTTACAGCTGCGCTGAGCTGGGCAGCCTGGCTCCAGCCTGGCCACTGCTGGGTGCTGGCAGCAGAGAAGGCAGCAGGCATCTCCACTTGCGGCGGCTATTTTCAGGTGCTGGAGAGAAGCCGAGGAGCGATGAGATTGTCACCAAGGAGACCAGAGAAACAGGGCCCAGCTCCGGGCAGCAAGGGGCTGTGGGGAGAAGAGAGGGGAGGGAAGGGCTTTCTGCAAGCCCCAGGGCCCACACATGGGGCTCAGCACCTCCCCTAGCCCTAAACAACCCGCCCAAATGCCCAACATCCCCCTGCCGGGCTGGGGGAACATAACCCAAAACCAGCAAGGGAGAGCTCAGGGGACCCAGCCCTTCCTTCCCCTGCTGCAAGGCTGGGCTGCTCTGTCCCCCTTGACTAATGATCTGCGGGAGAGTCCCCAGGACATAAAGCAGACCCCAGGCCCCAGCAGCTATGCTGGGACCCGCTCCACCACGCAGGGGGGCACACTTACCTGCCATGGGGCTGCAAGAATGACCCCCAGCTCCGGGAAGGACAGGGGAACAGCAGGGTGGTGGCACAAACCCTGCCTGTACCAGAGCCTGGTGAAGCATGGGGAGAGCAGAGCTGCCCCGCAGGTGCAAACAGGTCAGGGAAACAGAGGCATATGGAGGCCAGGAGAGCAGCTGAGTGCTAAACTTTAATAGAAATCCTTGAGAAATGATGAGAAAATAGAGAGCAGAGCCCAGGAGAAGAGCACCAGCCTGCAGTCCCTGCACACATGCTGCAGGTCACCTGGGAGAGCCGACAGCCCAGAGTAGATGGTCCCTCCCTGGTAGCCCTACTGTCCCCACAACAAATCGGAGCTACGCTGGTACCCATGGTCTCTCTCAAGTAGCGATGTGCAAGCCCAAAGTTTCCCCCAGGCCCTGAGGCTGGGGGAGGTCAGGATGTTGGCACAGGTGTTCAGAAAGGATGAAATGGGTCGGTTGAAAGTCCCATGCCCTCGTCCTTCCAGAGGAGCAGGGTGGTGGCTGGGGACTTTTCTCCAGGAGCCAGGCTGCAGCAGGGCAGAAGCAGACTTGGCTCCCAGCGGCTCAGGACAAGCACACAGAGACACAGGCAAGTAAGGGCTCAGCCTGTGCTGGTTGGGGATGGGAAACCCAGGCTGGCTCCAAGCTCAGCCAGCTCCCACGCAGTAAAGAAACCGCCACCACCACATCAGGCTTTAAGAGCAGCCTAGAACAAAGGCCAGACAAACCCCACTTCCTCAGGCTTTGCCATCTGTTTTAAAAATGGAAGTCAAACAGCTCTCCTCTTTGCCCAGTAAAACATTCCTCTCTAAAAACAGCCCCACAAGTAAGTGTGCAGCACAGAGGGCTCCCACAGTCCTTGCTCTCCGGAGCCAGCTCCTGTCTCTTCCTTTGAGGTAGGTTGGGTCGTCCCCAGGGAGGGACAGCAGCTGCCTGGTCATATCACCAGGGCAGTGTCTGAGAGACAGCCAGCAGGTTTCTGGTCGGCTCCATCAGCGCACTTGTTGAGAGGTAAGCTCTGAGTAGGGCTGGGCTCCAGGCATCTTGTGAGGCCTTCATCAGCTGAAGGGAGGAGTGTGCTGCAGGAGAAAGGAGACCCCATGCTGCTTAGGAACAGCGAGAAAGGATCAAAAGGGCCATGGTGCAACATTCACCTGCAGTAGCATTATACACAGATTTGCAGACAGGGCTGCCAGGCTCACCTACTCCATTTCCCATCCCAGGCAGCACCACTCACCCCAACAGACATCCAAGACATTGATGGGACTTCAGGGTCACAGCTTGATCTCCCTGCCTGCACGTAAACCCAACTCCATCTTGACCTGGGCACAGGAGCAGGGATGCCTTTCCCTTAACACCCAAGACCAGGGGTGTGCCTTCCCTCCACTTTGGCTCACCCAGACGAACCCCAGTCCTCCAACTCTCCAAAGGAAGCTGTTGGGGCCAGCAGCACCCATTTTGCAGCCCAGCTTTGCTCGGGGAAGCTGGCAGAGGCCTGCCTGCTCCCCCAGACCCTTGCTGCAGCTGAGAGCCTCTGCTCACTGCTGGTCACATCAGAGCCCACAGAATTGGTGCAGGTCCCTGTGAGGAACATCTTGTCAGCATGTCCTGACCATGACAACCCCAAACATCACCCAGTCCGGCTGTTCCGAGCCTTACTCCCACCCGAGCTGGGCATACAGTGCCAAGGAGACATGCCCTGTCGCACAGACAGCATGCCAGCCCGACCAGTTGGCTCTTCAGAGAGCAGAGGCTGGCTTCAGAGCCTGCAAGCCAACCTGTTTCTCTCCCCTTAAACAAAGCTGCTTTCCCTGCTGCCAGTTCTCTCTCAGCAGGACACCAGTCCTAAAGCCACACTGAACACCATGCACGTCACGGCCAGTGCAAACTCACCCCAGCCTGCCCAGTTCCAGTTTGCTGAAGCCATTTGATTGAACGCTGCTCCTCTGGAGGAAGAAAGACTTTGGCAACGACCACTGCAGGAGGAGAGAAAGACAACCAAATGGCTATTTAAGTCGCAGCAAAAATCCCTCAAGCCTGCTGGGCTCTGCCATAGGCTGCCCTAGTGCGCTTCAGCTTGAACTGCCTCACACTGCTGTGCATCGTCACTGCCACCAGACTGTTCCCAGAATAGCAAACAGAGCAGTCTTTGCTCTCTGCTTAATGAATCCCTGTTCTGTAAGTGGGAGCAGAGCATCTCGAGGTCAAAAGAGTGGGTTTCTTTCACTGGATCAGCCTGCTGGTAAGGCACAGGAGTGACAGACGGAGATGGCTCCCTTGCGGAGGGGAATAAAGGGCAGGCGAGGTGCCAAATATGTAGGGCTGTGCCCAGTGCACCCAAGGATATTCAGATGTGAAGTACTTGCAAATCTGATATACTGGGAGGACTTCATGTTGGTGGGAGATAGAGAAGCGTGGGTTTTTCCAGACTTCCCGAGGCCTTGTTAGAGATGGAAGAAGAGGGCAAACAGGTAGGGCAGGAGCCACAGGAAGCAGAACAAGCAGGCTCTCTGCCTAACTCTTCCCAGGCAAACCAACCACCTTTCCCTAGCTTACCCATAGCCATACGCACCATCTGGGTCAAATCCGTCCCTGCCCCAGTGTGGTACCCTTTGACACACCAGTTCCTCAGTAGCTCCAGACCTGGGAATTGACAGAAAAGACAAGAAGCAAGAACAACCAACCAAGTTTGCAGAGAGTTAAGCCTTCCCAGCTTGGGGCACACAAATATGCTGCACCAAGTGAACTGACTGCGCAGTACATACTATGCAATAACTACCTGAACACGTGCCTGAGCCCCAGCAAACATGGGGTAAACCAAGGGCATTCACCCTTTGTATGAGCAAACACTAGCGAGTGCCAACACATGGGCTGCTGCAGTGCCTACCTTCCTCCCAGGGAGCCAGACGCACCGTGCAGCAGGCTCAGCTAAGCAGGGAAACTGGGGCAACACGGGATTTGCCGAATTAGACAAGACTGGCTGTCCCCCTGAGCCCGGTGCCTGCCAACGGCAGCACCTGATTTGGGCTGCACCGGTTAAAGTTCCTATAGTGCAAATGTAGAGCAGCTTTGCTGTCACCAGCCCCTTTCCCAGAGGAGGGCAGTTCTGGCAACCTCCACCTTGCACGGCACTGATTGGCTGCAGCATCCCAGCGCATCACCTTCTCCCTGCACAGATCCATTCGGAGCTCGATGTGGGCTGAGACCTGGTCTCCATCCCTGACAGAGGGTGAGGCTGGCACAGACCAAGCTCACTAGTGGTGTGACTGGAAGGGACTGTTCCTCCAGCCACATACAAGACGTGCTGCTCCAGAGCACAGTGAGGTCACCTTGAAGCAGAGCCATGTGTCCAACTGCACTGAACAGGCTCCACTTCCTCCAAGGCCTCCTGCTAGCTGTCCCCACTACAGCCAAGCTCCCTGCTCCCTGCTAACCCAGAAATATTGAGAAATCCAGGACCGCTCTCTTCCTGTTTACTTTTTTAAGGGCCTTAGAGCCATAGCA